CTTTACACACTATATGTTAGCCAATTTGACAATAAATTATGTTAAAAAATTAAAAAAAAAAATAAAGCTGTGTAATTAACCACTGTGCTTTATATACTTGCCCCACACTACTATATGGATAGTCTGGCATGTTTTAGATATTGAGTATTAATTTGAAGTAAGTAACACTAACTGTAGAAGCAGGAGGTGAGGTCTCAGAGCCAGCTGTCTAAAAATGGGTTAAGTGTGCAGTACATTCCACACTTCTCACGACTGCTTGATTTACCTTAGCAGCCGTGTGTGCAAGTCTTGTTGTGTGTGGGACTATTTGTCAATTTTCAGTTTTTGCATTTGACCACCAAGTTTATGAGTCAGATCTAACAGTATGTTAGTATAGAATCCCATTAACTCAGCTGTCTAGGAATGTGTTGTCATTCAGCAGCTTCTCATTATTGTCTCTAAACACATACACCCACATCCATACACACCAGAATTCTGTCTTCTGTAGAGCAGGTGCCCTTGATGCCTTTAGCTTGTGGCGTAGTGCATAGTTGGTATTTAAATGAATGGATGTCCTAATCAGTGGCTTATGGACCATTTGACTACTTTTCGGTATTTGTCAATACACAGGTGAATAGAGTTAGCTACAGTTAGGAGGGTGTCCGCACAAGCCAAAACAGATTGCCTAAGAAGGGCAGTGCCCAGCAATGCTAACTCTAATTATGTTAGACTTTTATTTTCCCAGTAGGTGTTCTGTATGTTCTCCAGCACTTTCTTGGGGGTGGAACATTGTACTTTTCAGAGCATTCACATAACAGAACAGTGATGTGCAGTTTTTGTTCTTTGTAAGAAATTAAGTGACCGTTTCTAGTATCATCTGGTCTCTGTTTGAAGAAGAGAGTAGACTCCCAGTACGAACGACCACAGACATGGAGCAAGTAATAAAAAGGAGAATGTACGACAGACTGTTAATACCTGTTGTCTCTGTAGGCTTTGCAGGTGATTTTCACTGTCTGCCTTGTGTAGTGCTTCAGTGTTTGCATTTTGCTAATGAATAATGTAACCATTTCTTAAAAACTAGAAGTATGACTCTCGGTGGCTGACATAGATGCAGAAGTAGATAGAAAGACTTTCATTATTCTGATCCCTAGCCGAACCCCACACCCCCAAGAATATATAGAATCTAGCTGAAGGCTATGCTTATGTGAACAACAGCACAGAAATTGTTTTTGGTTTTGTTTTTTTTGTTGTTGTTGTTATGTGTGTGTGTGTGTGTGTGTGTGTGTGAGAGAGAGAGAGAGAGAGAGAGAGAGAGAGTGATTTGTGGTCCCAATCATTGTGTGAATGAGATTTCCCAAAACATCCCCTAAAAGTGATATATTGGCCCCATTGACAACCACTGCCCTATGTGGAGAATAGTGAAGATCTACATTTGGTGTCTGTAGGATAGAGATTTAGAAAGTAGAATTGACCGAAACTGTGAATTGATCACATATGGAAGAGTTAACAAGTGGAAAGAGTGGTATGATGACTGGGTTTTGTGACTGGGTGAACCATGGATTCATTCACTGTGAAGGGGAACTTAGAAACAGGACTTGGGGTGAGGTTTGAGTTGCCTGGAGGACATTTATAGAGAATAGTAGTTGGAAATGTAGTCCATTTGGTTGGAGCAGGAAATGGGTTTCAGGTTATTGAAACCATGGGTAGGTGAGATCAATCAGAGAATACAGAGTAAGAACACAGCTGAGGGTGGAACCCTGAAGGACATCAACATTGGAGTAGAGATGAGTCACTGAATTAAATGCAGAAAGAAAGGGCATTCAGAGAGAAAGGAAAACAAAAACTAAGGGAGAGCAGTGCATAGAAGCTAAGGGGTATGCAGTGCTACATGTTCACATAGATTCCTTTCGTGCAGCTTTAGTGTGCAATTCCATAAATGTTAATTTTAATATGAAACTAGTATGTTTAATTATTTCCCACCCCACCCTTCCCCCAATCCCTCAAAATTTCAAGCTAAATTTCCCCTCCAAGTCTTCTTTATCTTTGGGATTCAAGCATATACCGCTGTTTGTTTACCATCAGGAGCAAGCTTATCTCCACTTTGAGGTTTGTAGGTATGGGTTTCCACAGCCCTCTTTAGAATCCTAACAGTGGTCGGTTTTCTCCCAATCGCAATAATAATTTTGACTCAGTCCAAAGAATCCTGCTGAGGTGTATTATGAGCCCAAAACATACATACACATATATATATGTATTTTTTTTTTTGAGGGACAGAGGAAATTTGTATTTGAAAGCTAAATGAATTTTTCAATTGTAATATATATTTTTGTCTATCTCTTTCATGATCTCCAGTTTTGTCCAAAACATAGTTTAGGCAGTTTTAAAACAGTATTAAGAAATACTTTGAACATACACAAAAGCTGAGTAACAATGAAAATCCATATATCCACCATCTAGATTTAAAAATTAAGATTCTTACCATATTTGCAAATGTGGCACTCGGGCTTAGTAGCAGTTGGCATCTTCTGGGAACAGAAAGGACCTCAGTGTGGCTGGACCTCTATGATAAAGGTCAGGATGCTGGGCCATGAGTTGGAGATGGGCAAAGCCTAGGAGGGCCATGGTAGGAATTTGTATTTTATTATAAGGGCGGTGAAGAGTTATCGAAGGGCCTTCGCCAGTGGGCTCTTGTTACTGGTCCCTAAAACTCCCTCAGATATTTGTAATGAAATACTGCTGATGATAAAGGAGGAAGAAGGAAAACAGGAAAGATAGGTAGATTGTTATGGTGAAAGGTGTCTCTTAACCATGTTAATGCTTGTTTAACCATTGCTGCTTCCAGCCTGGTTATGTCCATACTCTTGGGATTGTCAGTTCCAAAACTCAGGCATAGACATATGCCTGTGTGTTTCACATCCTTCAAGGATCTTGCTGAGGAGTGTCCACTTCTTGTTTTTAGTACAGGAAATGCTAACTGTATTTCCTCAAAGCACAGTCTTACTAGTGTATATGTTCTGCAAAATCTTGGCTGCATAGTATACTAATTAAAAAAGGAATGATTGTATCATGCTTCCTCCTTCCCTCACAGAAGCATTTTATATGTGTTATCTTCACCAGCTGTACTCTTTCTGCTCTGACGAGTATTTGGTTTATGGTAGAACCTTTTAAAACCCCCTTTGCCCTGGAAAGTCACTTCTTCCACCACTGAGCCCAAGCTGAAAATATCTCTGTTGCATAGCACCATAACACTTCCTGCAAAATACCATTAAACTCTTCCCACCCTCCACCCAACATTGACTGGTAGCATCGTTGCTATTATTTGCAGAGTACAAATAGGAAAGATTGCATTTTCAGAGGATTTACTGTGATTCTGAGTCCACTGTGTTTATGGAAAAGCATCTGCATTACTCCCTACCCCCTCAAACAACAAAAGGTTAAAAAGAAAATAATGGAAAAGAGTGACCACGATTTATGTACCATCTAGCCAGGTAATCAGATAATGTAACAGCCACTTGGGATAACTCACCTATAAAATCCAAACTTCTTATCATAGAAAAGATATTTAGAAACGAATGTATTCATCTTTGGTTTTTGAAAACCTGTGTTTGAGGACGTATCTCTTTTGTTAATGGAGATGTGGTTTTAATGCGATCAAAGAAGGATTTACAGTCTGGTAGGAAGTGAGCTATATAGGTGATATTTGGGTGTAAAGATTGGTCAGGACAGATCATATCAAAACATGTCAAGAATTAACATACATGTTCATGATTTAATTGTAGGCTTAACATTGACCTTCATTTGCATGCTGTTTCCCCCTATATGTTTATTTGTAAACAGGTCACTGTATCTCAAACCCTGGAGAAAAAAACATTTAAATACTTTATTCAAATAAAGTCTTAGGCAAAGCTCAAAAGAAGTATTAATGATGCTGTGCAGTGGAGATATTTTATGTTCACATGTGGGAAAAAAAGTTATCTTTTGGTATCTCCATGAGGTCGTTTAATGTCTGTGAATATAGCTTCTTTCCATTTAGTAAAAGAAATTGTAAGTTCTGACCGGTTCCCGAGTTACTTTCCATTGTTTGTCTTGTTAACTTTGTTTTCTCGTGGTGACTTCTAGTGGATGTCCTCCTTTTACATGATATAATATTGTGGTTTATGTGGTTGGAATGTTGTTTTCTGCTGCCCATAAAAAATTAAGAACTTCCAGAAGTTCATTACCCCAAGGGTTTTATCCAGTGAGTTCCTTCACAGGAGATAGTCCTATCCAGGCAGAAAGAGTACATAAGGGACTTGAGGACCCGCTGGGAGATTTGCCCAAGGCTCTGTCCAAGATTCTCCAACTCAGAGACCCTGACTGACTGAAGAGAAGGTGGTGGGTGCCCCCAAGGTGCTTAGGAGGAAACAGCATGAACACAGGCCAGGGCATATCTGGAGAGACCTAGATAGTGAGCCTGTTGCTAGTGCTGTTTGGCTAAGCTCCTTACCTAGCTTTTTGCCTCAGTTTCCTCAACCGTAAGAGATACCTATTAATTAGAGGTACCGTGTGGTAATTAAGGACACTTTGGATTGAGATAGACCTGAGCTGGTTTTACTGCTTGGTACCTTGAGCCAGTTTCTTGACCTCATTAAAGTTTACCTGTAAATGGGAGTAATAATGTCCCTCGGGGAATTGTTTGAAAAGATCCCATAAGATGATGAATTAAAGTGCTTAGCGTGGGGCCTGGCAGTACGAGTTGCCCTACTCACCAGCACCAGCATGTTCCTCCTCAAGTGGGTGGTTAGGGGAGCAGGTGATAAAAAAGGTGTTTCGAGAGGTACGAAACATTCTGTAATTCTAAGATCTCTCTGCATCATCATTTCCTGTGTATATTTGTAGGTTTCCTCGTTCCTACTCACTTTGCAAGTCTTGTCGTAAAATAACTCTCTCAGACAGTGGGTTTCTTCCCAGATTAGGGTTTAGAAAGTATGTCTTCTGTTGACCCCACTTCTTCTCACTTGTGCCTTGTACTGTGCCCCCAGGTGAAGCAGGCAGAGCGCAGCGAGGCATCTGTCGCTGCCGCCATGCCGTTCCCATTTGGGAAGTCTCACAAATCCCCAGCAGACATTGTGAAGAACCTGAAGGAGAGCATGGCTGTTCTGGAAAAGCAAGACATTTCTGACAAAAAAGCAGAAAAGGTATGCATTTGGTTTTATGTTATATTTTCAATCTTTTGATTAGGAGCAAATGTAAGACAGATTATGAAGTGATTTTAAAAGATCAGTAAATCCCAATTTGGGTTTATTTGGGGTTTTAAAATAGAGTCTTCAAATGGCATTTGCTGCTGCCTAAACACCACATACTTTCTTGCATACTGCCATCCAACAGATCGCTTTCTCACTTTTCTCTCAGTTTTTCATTTCAGGTTCTCAAATTTATTTAATTTGGTGGGGAGGAGGGTTCATTGTTGAAGTGGTTTATCTGATCAGTGTTTCCACCTGTGGTCTTCTTGGAGCAGCATCTCTCCCAGTTTCCTTTCTGTGTTCCTTGTATCCATGACAAGTGTCTCCCTCTGTCCAGTCACCATAGTCCAAAACCTGGCTTTTATCCTGATCTGTCTCCTTCCCTTTTTTTTTTTTTTTATGTTTATTTATTTTTGAGAGAGAGAGAGAGACAGAGCACGAGCTGGGGATGGGCAGAGAGAGAGGGAGACACAGAATCTGAAGCAGGATCCAGGCTCTGAGCTGTCAGCACAGAGTCCGATGTACTTGAACTCGCAGACCATGAGATCATGACCTGAGCCGAAGTCAGATAAACCAACTGAGTCACCCAGGCACCCCTTCTCCTCCTCCTTTAAAATGTCATCTTCGTGAAATACTATGAATCCTACTTCCTAAGGGATTAGGAATTGATCCTGACTGCCATTCCCACTTGATGAAGATCCTCATGACCTCTCTTATGGACCTTAGCAGTAGTGTCCTTAATGCTCTTTCTAAAATATCTCCCCTGCTTTAAACCTTCAGTGCAGACTCCTCGCATAGCACACAAGACCCTTCATGACCTGGTCTCTGCTTTTCTAGGCGATTTTCAACCCTTCTCCCCACTATTCTGTGAGCTCTAGCAATCTCAGCTTGCCTCTGTCCACTAGAGCAACTAAAGCAAATGATCAGCTATACCATTTTTAATGCCTTTGTCTTGTCCACCCCCTTGGATTTTCACCCCAGCCCCCATTCATCTTTCAGAACCACTCCATACCTCTCTTTTTCCTAGATGGCTTCCCAGAATACTCCCTTTGCTTCCTCATGCTTGCCCCCTAAAACAAATCTCTACCTTTTGGTCACCTCCTTTGGAAATGCCAGCACTGCCTCCATCTTTGAACATGATTTTATTTGTGTTGTATTTTTTCTCTCTTATTAGAACATGAGCTCTTTGACTCCAGTGTTATTTCTGGCCCACCTGTGCCCTCCACAGTACCTGTCTACCTATCCATGGGCTGGATACCTGCTGTCTCTTGAATGAGTATTTGACTGGAATGACCTCTTCCACCCTATTGTTTATTTTAGGAGGTTGTTTCCTCTCTTGGGTTGAATAGTAGACTGCTTAACTACTACCATCTTTTTAAGATGTGGTTTACCTGTGTTCCTATAAAAAAACGAAGTTCACACCCATGGGATTAAGATTTGTTACAGGCTATTGAGTTAATCTATCTTTCTGTCATTGGAAGCAATGTAGGAGTGCCTGGGTGGTTCAGTCAGTTAAGCATCTGACTTGGGCTCAAGTCATGATCTCATGGTTCATGAGTTTGAGCGCTGCATCGGGCTCTGTGTTGTCAGTGCAGAGCCTGCTTCAGATCCTCTGTCTCCCTCTGTCTCTCTCAACCCTTGCCCCCGCCCCCAGATAAATATTTAAAACCAAAGAAGCAATCTAAAATTAGTAAAATTTTTTTATAATTCAACTTTAGATCTTTCATGGAAATTCTAGACAGTTTCTTGCATTCCCATTGTAAGATAATAGATAAATGTTTATGATATGATAAAACTTTTTTAAAAATTCGGGTGTAACAGATGATAGCTAGATTTTCATATTTGTGTTTGCATTCACTCTGATGTCATATGTTCCTTGGTTGAAGTTATAAAGTCTGGCCTTATACAGATGTATGGGTGGAAAAAGGAGGTGTGTTTTAATAGCCTTTCAGATAATTCTGAATATTTTTTTTTTTAATTTTTTTTCAACGTTTATTTATTTTTGGGATAGAGAGAGACAGAGCATGAACGGGGGAGGGGCAGAGAGAGAGGGAGACACAGAATCAGAAACAGGCTCCAGGCTCTGAGCCATCAGCCCAGAGCCTGACGCGGGGCTCGAACTCATGGACCGCGAGATCGTGACCTGGCTGAAGTCGGACGCTTAACCGACTGCGCCACCCAGGCGCCCCAGATAATTCTGAATATTTTTTGATAGCCACACCAAAATTCAACAATTGATAGTTCCTTGGGGCACCTGGGTGGCCTAGTTGGTTAAGCTTATGATTCTTGGTTTCGTCTCAGATCATGATCTCACGGTTTCATGAGTTCAAGCCCCACCTCAGGCTCTGAACTGGCAGCACAGAGCCTGCTTAGGATTCTCTCTCTCCCTCTGTCTCTTCCCCTCCCCCACACGTGCTGTCTCTGTCTCTCTCAAAATAAATAAACAAAAATCTTTAATAAAAAAGGAAAAAAACCCAATTGATAGCTCCTTGATTGTAATAGAATCTGAAAGTATATAAATAAACTTTTCATACTCTGCATTTTGAAAAGATTTTTTTTTTTTTTTTTGAGAGAGGGCGCAAGTGAGCAAGGGGCAGAGAGAGAGGGGGAGAATTCCAGGAGAGAAAGAGAGAGGGGGGAGTGGGAGACAGAAGCAGGGCTCACCCTAAGCAGGGTTTGAGCTCACCGGAAGCAGGGCTCATGCTCACCCACTGTGGGACTCGAACTCAGGAACCGTGGGATCATGACCTAAGCCGAAGTCAGATGTTTGACTGAGCCACCCAGGCACCCTGAAAAGATCTTTTATCCATGCATGATTTTGTAACATGCATTGATCATTTAGAAAGTGTTGGATCACTGATGTATACACATCTTCCAAATATTGACACATTATACAATTTCAAAAATTCACATTTTTAAGTATTACCACTAATCCCATCAGAAAAGTCTGGAAGTACTGGAAAGTGGTCAGACTTATGCATGTTGTATTCAGATTTCAGAATTCAAATTGGGCAGCAGATACTATAGGGTGTTTTCCTTAAAGTGACAAGCTCTCACTTCATTCATTTTTGAGAAAATGTCTGCTAAATATCTAAGCCTGAATGATTTGTCAGTTTTTCTTTCACGTTAAAATGATGTTCCATTAAAAAAGTGGCTTATTCAGCTTGTAGCTCTGTCATACAATTACTTTTCCTTAAGACAACCCATTTACTTTATTTTTTTTTTCCAACGTTTTTTATTTATTTTTGGGACACAGAGAGACAGAGCATGAACGGGGGAGGGGCAGAGAGAGAGGGAGACACAGAATCGGAAACAGGCTCCAGGCTCTGAGCCATCAGCCCAGAGCCCGACGCGGGGCTCGAACTCACAGACCGTGAGATCGTGACCTGGCTGAAGTCGGACGCTCAACCGACTGTGCCACCCAGGCGCCCCATAACCCATTTACTTTAATAAGGGGCAGAAGGTGTTTTACGTATACTCCCTGTATTTATCACACCAAATGTTAAAAAGACGTGTACTCAAATATCAAAATTTAATAAAATGAATATTTTTTCTGCTTTCCCATGACATTCTAAAGCAAAATTTTAAACTGAGTACATGGTGATGAAGATGGCAATGATGGCCGGTACAGTTTGTTGTCCCCGCCTTGACTCAGGCTAGAGGGTCAGCACTGTCAGTGCAAATGGCAATTCAGCCGAAAAAGGCAAATGTGTTTTATTGATTGAAAACAGTTCTGACCTCCTGGGCCTCTTGAAAGGGTCTCAAGGGTCCACAGGAGTCCATGCTTTGACATCTGTGGTAGTCGACTGAAGGTGTGTGGGTGTGTGGAGGGTGGCAGCAGGTAGGGGGAGTGTCCTAACTTAGACGGGCTATATGAGGAGGTGGCACTGGAGGTGAGTCCTGTCAGTTATAGAAAGCATGCTTAGTCTCCATTAGAATCCATATTATCTACTTGACTAAACCAGTGGTTGTCAACCAGGGGCAGTTTGCCTTCTGTGGGACATTTGGCAATGTCTAAAGACATTGTTGGTTTTAATCTGTGTTGGAGCACAGGCTGCTACTGGCATCTAGTTAGGAAAGGCCAGAGATGCTGCTAAACGTGGGACAGCCTCCCACAACAAGGAGTTACCTGGCCCCGAATATCCATAACACCAAGGCTGAGAGCTATTTCTTTAAACCTTAGCAAGAATAGACCTCCTGCTATTAGGATAAACAAAGCAAAGGAAAATGGTTGAATTTATGAAAAATAAATTTCAGTGGAAAGGGACAACTCTGAAAGGCAACTTGTGGAAATTACTTTTTCTGAAATAGATTAAGAAGAGGGAGGAGAACCCTGCAATTTCCCAATTCACCTTGTTATCAACATTCAAAAGGTAGTAGCAACTGATGCAAATGGCAAAAAAGGGAACAGAGACCTGAAAATAAATGGAAAGGTGAAAATCTAACCACTAAATTAAAAACCGTGAAAAACAACTTTGACCTCATACTTAAGACTGAAAGCTTGAAGGTAGTCCCATAAAACCAGAGTGCTTGCTATGACTTATTTAGCCTTGTTCTGGAAATCCAGCCAGTGCATAAAGAAAGGAGGGAAGGAAGGAAGGAAAGGAAGGAAGGAAGGAAGGAAGGAAGGAAGGAAGGAAGGAAGAAATGGTTTGGAAATAAAAAATACAGCTATTGCAAATAAACAGGGAGAATTACATTATTGACATACTCATATATCTGTACAAAACGCAAGCAAATCAACGTAAAAACGAGTTTATTTACAAGGCAGCTAAATCCATAGAAAATTCATAGCCTCCCTAAGTACCAATCAAAACTATCTAGAAATTGTAGTTTTTTTAAGCAAGTATTTCATTTACAATAACAACAACAAATAAGATGTTTGAGAATACTTTCATCAGGAAGGATGCAGAACCTGTTTGAAGAAAACTATAAAACCTTGTTCAGAGGCACCA